AAAATAAAAAGTAGAACTAAGAAAAAGCCATTGGCAAAGGATTCTAGTCATTAGGCTTTTCTTTACTATAAATTTTGCTTTATTTCTTCTATTTACCCCTTTTATTGAGATGCCCTATTTTGGAAAGGAGCCAAAAGACATACTATCATGAGCTAAAGGCATTAGTATATATGGTGTTTCAACTGGGATTTAAAAAAATCTTTTAAAGAAGTCGCAAAGGCATGTAATCTTCTATTCCAGTGGCTCATTCTTTACATTTGCTGAGTCCTTCTCAGTCCCCGGGGCTCTGGGATATGAGATTCCAGGTCAGCTTTAGCTGTCTGGGTTCACTCAACATGTAGGATGGAACATACCTATCAGTAGCTTCAGGGGTATTGTGATCATTGGTGCTCATTTTATTATGCCTCAAAACTTATAAATACATTCTCCAGTATGTATCAAATGTTTTGTGATACTTTTTTTTTTTTTCAATAAAAGAATAGCTCTAAGCTCTAGGAATGATGTTGGAAGTTTAATTCTTTTAAATGGGGAACATTTGAGAACCACCTGATTTTCCAAAATTTCCACAGATTTTTTTCTCTCTAGGCTGTTCTAGTTAGGATCAGAACTTAAGTAGCTTTAGGGTTGGAAAGCTGCTTCAGCCATGTTGATCTATATCCTCTTTGTCATCTTTCGTTAAAATTAGAAGATAAATAATAAGGTTTATCCTGATCAACAAGGAAAAACTAATCTTCTTAGCCAAACACATGTTGGGAGAATCAATCTGTGTGGGCCAGGAGCAACCGGTACTTTTTACTGGGTGAGCCAAGGATACAGGCTCTGACTGCTGTTTACATGGGCCATTTTTCAGAATTATGTTTGCAGTAAGGAACCTGAGAGATGAAGTAACATGTCTCACCTAAGAGCAACCTAGATGACCACTCATAGCTAAAGTAGTAGATAATGAACATACACTCAGGCTGCTTGCAGCGTTGTATCAAGTCTTCCGCCAGTATCTGTGAAGCAGCAAAAGATTAAATTGTTAACCTGCCAGATGGGTAAAATCACAGAGCCTGCCAGTTTGAGTGACAAGGAAGAGATACTGACAGAGACATGGCATTCTGAAAGCCAAAGGACATTCTGAAAGGGACCTCATTGGTTGGGTTATTAGATATGAAAAGGCTTTCTGGGATCTGGTAGGAAATAGTCTCACCCAGGTGGTGGTAAGAATTGGAAGGAATAGGAAGGGTCTCTCACTGTCCAGTGGGTTAAATGGCGCTGAACAACAAAAGGTAGAATTCAAATAAGCTGCCCCGGGGGTGCTGTGATTGTGGCCTGTTGTCCTGCGGAGTGGGAGAGGGAAAGAATGTTACCAAGAAGATGGTGTAGCAAGTCCCACAGCCCTGCCAAAAGGCCTGGCAATGTGGCTGTAGCTGAAGGGAGGCCCTTTGAAATGGAGAAGAAATGCAAAGCCTTGCTTACTGGCACTCAGCTACTCTCCCATGCCAACTTCAGTTGCCTTAGGGAGGAAAGTTAGATATGCTGAAGAACTTCATTCAGAGAGGAGAGAGGAGGAATTCAACTGTTTATAGCTCTGTTGGATACAGGTGCCCAAGTACACTTGGTCCCATGTGGGGAGGGTGAACTCAGCACCAGGGTGGCTTTAAGAGCTGAGGGTGCAAGGCCGAGCAAGCAAAGACCCAGTAGAGGCTAAAAGAATGAGTGCCCTCCAGCAACCAGGGGTGTGCCGGGGAGGAAGCAGCATCAATTCTGGAATGAGGAGCCAAAGGGCAAAAGGCTGTCCTTGTCCCTTTGCACTCCCCATCGTCTGCAGCTGTGAGACAGTATAGTCTCCTTAACTTCGGAGATAACCTCAGCTACTACAACTGTTTAACCCCTGTGTTAAATTCTTTGGTCTGTGTTCCCATGGGGGAAAAAAGCATTGGAATTCAACTGATAAGAGTTTGAGCAACATTTGCAGTAAGAAAGGGAAATGAAAGTGACCCTTGAGCCAATTCAGGATACTGCAGTTATGTCCCCTGCATATAAATGTATAATGAAATTGATGTGTTACTTGCTTATATTGTAAATATTCATAGTAATAAAGAGACATTCTCTCATTCAGGGATTCCCTGACCCCTTCCAGGTGGTCTATTAGAAACAATATAGAGTCCCAAGGAGAAAAAGAGAAAAATCACAGCCAATCACCACTTGCAAACACAGGCACCAAAAACCTCCTAGTTTCTGGGGCTGCTATAACAAAGCACACAAATTAGGTGGCTTAACAACAGAAATTTATTGTCTCCATTCCAGAGGCTAGAAGTCCAAAATTAAGGTGTCAGCAGGGTTGGTTCCTTTCCAGGGCTGTGTGAGGATCTGTTCCACACCTCTCTCCTTGCCTCATAAATAGCTGCTTCATAGCCCCACAGCATCCCTGTAGGCACGCCTCTGTCCAAATTTCCCCATTTTATGAGGACAGCAGTCATATATTGGATTAGGGCTCATCCTAATGACTTCATTTTAACTTGATTGACTCTGTAAAGACTCTCTCTCCAAATATATCATTCTGAGATAGCAGGGGTTAGGACTTTAACTTAATTAAGAATAGTGGGAAGGACACACAGTTCAACCCACAACATACTCCTTTCAAAAAGGGGAGGCAGCTACTGGCTACAACTGAGCTCTTGTTAAAAATGAATATCTGACCCATGGAGGCTTTTGGCTCTCCAGCCTCAACCCCATCTTGGGGTGGGTCAACTAGGACAAGACAATTATAAGGAAAGGGCCTGTTTGCTGGTCAAATAAAGACATAGTTGAGGGTATGACTGGCCTGGCCCTACTGTCACCTCAGTTTTGCATAAAGGAGTAGTAGCTGCCCCTTTGGGAAAATCTTCATCTCCTACTCTGCCACATGAAGTAGAGCTACTGGCTTAACAAGGCCCTTGGATCCACAGAGATTCTCCCAAATGCATGGGCCTGGTTTACCTTTGGTTCAGCTAAGCTGAAAACTGACGGTGCCAATAGTGCTCCTGCTCATTTGAACTCAGCACTAGCTATACTGGTCACTGCGATCAGTGGGCCGAAATCAAGGCTGTTATCAAAGCTCTGGTCAGCTGGGCTGAGGGGCAGGTTGTTGGGAGGGGTAACTGTACATGGGCCCTGAATATCCCCACACATTCTTGCTGAGTAGGCCAAGAATGCAAGGCCCAGACTGTTCTTTACAGGCCATTTGTCTGGGTTGTGTTTACAGTGAATGACCTTCAGGGATAAGGTCAAGTCCTCCCCCAACTCTTCCGGCTCACTAACCACTATAAAAGCAGTAGATTCCCCAAGCCCAGTGTTCCTCAAATGTGCCATACACCCATTGAGTGCACAGCACCCATTTAAGTCCATCTTAATCACCTCTGTGAGACTTGAGGGACATAGGGATACTCATACCAACCTCATGATCATGTTGCTCACTGTGCTATGAGTAATGAAGTCCTTTGTCTCTGAAGGAAGTATCTCCTGTATTCGGCCAGCGTCCATGAAACAGTAACAGGCTAATTAATGAGCTTGCAGGTGGGATACAATCCCAGACCTTCACATATTCTGACTTCACTGATGTAAAAGTCTGTAGTTTCCAAAGGTCTTGGATAAGGATTCTCTGGGTGTATGACATTCTTGGCTGGTGTGTATGCCTAATGCTTGGTCCTCCCCTATGTCATTCTGCTCTGTTAACAACAATTCAGTTCCCAATCTTTAAATTGTTCCATTCTCCCAAAAGAAATCATTATCCTGCAAAAGACACTCTTCATAGCAATAATAACAGTAGCAACAACTAGTACTTTTAAAGTGAGAGACACTGTCCTGAAGACTTGAGGCACTGTTCTGTGCTCTATACATTGTATACATTGTTCTGTATACCCTCTGTATACTACCGTTATTACTCTTCAAAACAACCCTCTGAAGGGGATACTGTCATCTCCAGTTGACAGACTAGTAAACTGAGGCCCACATCATACTGTCAGCGAGGGGTAGAGATGGGATTCAAACCTAGTTAGTCTGGCTTTAGTCCTTACTTTTAATCATTTGCCATATTGCCTCACAGTAGGCTCTTTTACTCCCAGGGCCATAATGAACCCCAAAGGTCAAGAGATCTTCATTTGAAATCTTAGTTAAATAATTTTAGTCAAACTTTTAACACTTGACTATGACATCCAACAATTTAAAATCCTTTTTGACAACTGATATTAGGCAATCAGACAATCTTCTACTTTGCTTTGATCTTTTCTATCTAGCCTATATATAAACCCAGTGTCAAGTTTTTACCCTGTATATTAATTTCCTATTGTCACTATAACAAATTATCAATGTTAGTGGCTTAAAACAACATAAATTTATTATCTTATAGTTCTGCAGTCAGAAACCAAAGTGGGTGGCTGGTGAGACTGTATTCCCTCTCTTAGCTCTAGGAGAGAATCCATATCCTTTCTTTTTCCAGCTCCTAGAGGCTACCTGAATTCCTTTGCCGTTCATTAGATCTTCAAGCCAACAGTGTATACGTCTTCAAACCTTTCTTTCACTCTGACTTTGACCCTCCTGCCTCCCTGTATTCTTTATAAGGACCTTTGTGATTACCTTGAGCCCATCCAGATAATCTAGGATAACCCAGGATCTTCCCTATCACAAACTCCTTAACTTAATCACATTGCAAAGTCCCTTTTGCTATGTAAGGCAAGGTATTCACAGAGGATTAGGTTGCAGATATGTGGTGAGGGGAGCGCCTCATTCTACCTACCCTACACTCTAAGCGGGTATGTCTTACTTCAGGATGGAAATTTTTTAAAAAGTATCTGGATTGGAGATCTAAACACACCCATTCACCAGATAATTAATAGTGCATTTCATCTTGATCCTGAGGATAGAGCCCCAAGGATATTTTACCTTTTGAGGTCAAAGAGAACAGTACTTCTGGAGTACCTGTCACAGAAACTTTAACCACTGTAACAACATAAAAACTTAATTATTTGAAAATGTACCTGGAGTCGAGCATTCATAAGCATAAACTCCTGTTGGTTTTTCATGTTTTCACTCATGGATTTTGAAAATATAAATCCCATCTTGACCTAAAATGTGAAAAAGCAAAGAGGCTTAAAACAATACAGTTTACATATATCCTCATATGCTCTGCTTTGGGCTACCGTAAGCTTATAACAATGTAAAAAGAAAAAAATAAGACAGATTTCCTAGGAACACGGTGTAGATTATAGTTCTTGCTTCTAACTAACTGTCTGATCTTGGGCAAACATGACCAGCCTGCTCAACATTTGCTCACCTAAGACCAGGGGACTAAACTTAGACAACTTCCAAAATATTCTCCTGCCCTATAGCCATACAGCTCCATGTTTCTAATTTTTCTTCCCACTGTAAATCTTAGAGAACTGAACGCTTACAAACGAACAAAAAGACCACTCTTTTCTGTGAGCGACAGGGTGGACATTCTCTGACATCCTATACAGCTGGTGACAGAAACTTTGCTTTTGAGAAGGGGTGATTCAGAAGATGCATTGTACTCCTTGAGGAGAGATTTCTCTGTGCTCCTTGCATTTGTATTTTAGGGAGTTTTAGGTGTCTCAAGGTCACTATGTCAGTACTCTTGCTGTAATCCCTGTCTCTTTCCTACAGTACCCCTTATTCTATGATGCACTGCTAGTATCCCTTAGTCTTCCTCTTCTGGCTTCACCTTTGTTCTCTTCAGGCTATTGCCGAAGTTCTCAAGAGGGGAAGAACAAAATGATACTTAAATGTCCTGAGAAAAGCAATTTTTAAATGAATACATGGCATTGCCTGTCTTATTTATCTTACTCAAGAAGTTCTTGGGGCGCCTGGGCAGCTCAGTGGGTTAAGCCTCTGCCTTTGGCTCAGGTCATGAGCTCAGGGTCCTGGGATCGAGCCCCGCATCGGGCTCTCTGCTCAGCGGTGAGCCTGCTTCCTCTTCTCTCTCTGCCTGCCTCTCTGCCTACTTGTGATCTCTGTTTGTTAAATAAATAATAAAATCCTAAAAGAAAAAAAAAGTTCTTAAGTGGGCCATCACTTCTAGGGGGCCCAAATTTCAATTTTTTGTTCTTAATCCAATTGTATAGTTACAGAAGGCCTTCAGTTAGGTGTTAATTTTACTTTCAGAAGACTGCAAAACTCAGGGATGTTACAACTGCTCTATTTCCAGTAATATTGCTGGTTTTCTTTGGTAAGCTACTCAGAAGGGTTGTGAACCTTAGGTCAGAGTGGTCAGTCTCAATGCTTTCTACCCCAAATTCACAGTCTTCTGTGAGAAACCAGCAGAGCTTCTCTTTTTCCCTATCCTCATCAGGAAGTAGTAGGTTCTGGTTAACTGAGGAGAAGATACTGGGGGAGGGAGGGCATTTCATGCCAGATAGGTAGAATGTGTTATCCTTGCGGATTTGGCTCCACGTGAGTGGGAACTGCAAGCCATCCGTCAGTGTCTTCCCTGTATTAGGGCCAAGGCTGAATCTTTGAATGATAGGAACCTCTGAGCCAGAGTCAGCCTCAATGATGGACACAGGAAACTGAACTGTACAGAACAGGCAGGTCGTGAGGTGTCCCTGTGCCTCTGCCACTGCCCCACTCCATCCTCTCTGTCCAGAGAGTTAGAGGCCACCGCATGAGGATAGGGAGACCTTACAGAAGTTCTTTCCTTTCTGCAGACTTTGACACCCCCCCCCCCAAGTCAGCTGTCTCCAACAGCAGATCAGAACTTGCTTGAAGGAAGGAGCAATGTTTTCCATCTGGGCAGTCCCCATAACGTCTTTTTCCCATAAATGTTTGCATAGAGCATGACTGGTACAAGAGAAACCTAGCTCAGGTCACTTTCCATTCCTTTTTTTTCTGTACATAGGAGTAGATGATTGAATTTTTCCATATGTTGTAAACATTATAAAGGAAACAACTGTCCTCTAATCCTACTCCTACACATACACACCATTTATCACAGAACTATGTCTCTTATAGGGCTCCTGTTTATAAGGGGGTGGGACCTCTCCTGAAGTGGAGAGATAGTCCTCATGTCAGCCCTCTAGGGAAGAGAAACTATCTGGAAGGTTAGGGTGTAGACTTACCTGGTTTTGGACCTTGGTTTCTTGAGTCTGGATGGTATTTTGGATGTGTTAGAGAACACTCCCAAGGGTTAAAGGTAGAATCCAAGCAGGGTGAAGAACTTCCCTCTTTTCCTCAACAGAAACCACACCTGAAAGTGAGTGTACAACACCTTGTGAACTATGCCCTGGGGTTCAGTATTGTCAACTTCCCTCTCCTTCCCCATCCTAACAAAGCCATTTTCCAAAGTCTAGGAGGTTCCTTAGGACACCCAGAATACTCTCAGCTTTCTCTCTATAAAATCAAGCAAGAGTGATCTTGTAATAGGGACAATTTTGAACTCACTCAATTGAATAAGGTTAAGTCCTTCAAAAATTCCAGCACTTTATCACTGGTGACAAATGTTTCACTATTTACAACTAAGATACCAATGTGTCTCAGAGGGCTTAGAGTGCTGATTTGGTCTCTTCTGCCTTCATTTTTCCTTAGATTATTCCTGAGACCTTAGAAAGGGCTCTTTAATGCCCCAGCCCCTTTCATCTGTGCCATAGTTTACAATGGGAAGGGGTATTTCTGAGGAGTGCAGGGGCAGCAAGCTCCAGGCAGCCTTCCTCCAGTCACCCTGGGAACAAGGATTTGATTTTACTTATTGAAAAAGAGAGAGAGAGAGAGAGAGAAGTTCATGACCCATGACCTCTTTGTCATCCACATGTCTGTGCTGATTCATTTCCTGATCAAATAACACATAACACACATTTATGACTGGTGGCGTAATTTCATTCGGTTTCTGGTCTTTTTTACGTTCCATTCAAACTGGGCCACTTCCCCTAAGTATTCCAGCTCTGAACCAACCCACAGCTTCTGGGAGGTTTTCCCTAGTGTAGACCCATTGTTGTAACTCGGGTATTTCCTGCAGTCCTAAGATTATTTCCGTTGAAAATGCCCTGCATACTTTTCGCCAACTGCGTTACATCGATACGGGAGGGGCCAGGAGTCCTTCCGAGCGGTCTTCGGAAGCGAGGCTGGAGATACAGGTCAGCCCTGGGGGCGGGAGGGGAGCCAACTGGAGGTGCTCTCAAGGAGTGGGCCAGCACGGCCCGGCGGCCCGGCGGCCCGGCCCCCCCACCCCAGCTCTCGGAACGCGGGCTGTCCGACCGGCGCTCACTCACTGGGCAGCAGGCGGCGGAGGTGCGGAGAGACCGTACTCACTGCAAAGGCCTGCAGACCCCGGGGGTCCCGTGGATCGCGACTGGGCAGGGACTCGCCAGGCGAAGCCTCGGGCGGGACTGGACGGCCTAGACAGGGACGCCGAAGCTCGGCCAATCAGGGCAGCGCTTGCTTCCTTAAAGGGGCCGCTCGCCCGACTGAGGCCTGGTGTGTGCTTTCGGGCCAGGCGCGGGGACTGCATAGGCAAATTCAAACCAACAGCGGCTTAGCTGTCAGATTTCGAGGGGACGAAGAGGAAGCAGAATGAAAATCTCACATAACGGCCTCAGTGAGGTCCCTGAGTTACCGAGTATGTGAGAAATCCGTGCTCCCGTGCCGAGCTGAGCCATCTCACTGTTCTTCTCCAGAAATGGTGTCAGCCACCACTGTTGTGTCAGTTTCCCAGAAGAGAATGTGTCTCATGAGAGGTTGTCCCTTAAACATAAAATCCACAGTTGCAAACATTTTTTTAAAAATTGAAGTTGAGTTCACAATGTTACTTTAGTGTCGAGTGTACAACATGGTGATTTGACAAGTCTATACCTTATTCTGTGTTTACCACCATACAACCTGACCACAGTACCAATGACCATGTTCCCTCCCTGTACCTTTCACACTTGTGACTTACTCACTCCAGCACTGGAAGCCTGTACCTCTCACTCCCCTTCACGCATTTTGCCCATCTCCCTTATCCACTCCGGTCTGGCAACCATCTGTTTCTTCTCTGTATTCATAGGTCCGATTTTGCTTTTGTTTTTTTATTCATTTGTTTTTTAGATTCCACATATAAGTGAAATCATATGGTATTTGTCTTTCTCTGTCTGACTTATTTCACTTAGCATAATAACATCTATGTCTATCCATGGTTACAAATGGGAAGATCTCAATTCTTTTTTATGGATGAGTAGTATTCCTGTGTGTGTGTGTGTGTGTGTGTGTGTGTGTGTGTACGTATACACCACCTCTTCGTTATCCATTCATCTACTGATGGATGCTTGGGTTGCTTTCATATGTTGATTAGTATAAACAGTGCTGCCATGAACAGGGATAGGTATATCTTTTTGAATTAGTGTTCTCATTTTCTCTGGGTAAACACCCAGTAGTGTAATTACTGGATCATATGGTAATTCTAATTTTAATTTTTTGAGGAAACTCCATATTGTTTCCCACAGTGGCTGCACCAGTTTGCGTTCCCACCAACAGTGCACGAGATTTCCTTTTCCTCCACATTCTTGCAAATACTTATTATTTCTTGTCTTTTTGATTCTGACCATTCTTACATGTGTAACGTGTTATCTCATTGTGGTTTTGATTTACATTCCCTTGATGATTAGTGATGTTGAGTGTCTTTTCACATGTCTCTTGACCATCTGTATGTCTGCTTTGGAAAAATGTCTATTCAGGTCATTTGCCCATTTTTAATTGGATTGTTTATTTTTTGGTGTTAATTGCATAAGTTCTTTATAAATTTTGGATATTAAGCCCTTATTAGATGTATCATTTGCAAATATCTTCTCCCAGTTGGTAGGTTGCCTTTTTATTTTGCTGTGCAAAAGCTTTTTATTTTGGTGTAGTCCCAATAGTTTATGTTTGCTTTTGTTTCCCTTGCCTGAGGAGATATATGTAGGAAAATGTTATTAAGGCCAATGTCAAAGAAATCACTGCCTATGCTTTGTGCTAGGAGTTCTGTGGTTTCATGTCTCATATTTAGATCTATAATCCATTTTGAGTTTATTTTTGTGTGTGGTGTAAGAAAGTGGTTCAGCTTCATTGTTTTGCACGTTGCTGTCCAGTTTTGCAGTA